CCTCCCTGGTGGCGCAGCAGGTTAAAGCACAGCACTGAGAATCTAAAGCCGCCTCTGCATGAGTTCGATTCCCGCCTGCCCTGGAGGTGACCACAAGGCGCGGCAGACCTCTCCTGGCCCGCCCGCTGCTCCCCTCAAGGCCTCTGACAGAAGCAAAAGGTTCTGGCAGAAATCAACTTTAATAGAAATTTTTGATAAATACTTTGTATGCAGATACAGAGATTTGCTAACTAAAAAGAAAATAAAAGATCTCGAGATTTAGATGCTAGGCAAATGTAAGGTTATACAAATTAAAAATATTTGTTATACACGTGCAAGAACTTGAAAGGTGTTGCACACTGAGGGTACTGAAGTGATGTTCCACAGCAGCAAGGATGCTCGTGTCCATTGTTTAGATGATCCTTAGTGGTAATCTGGTTTAGCTTCAATATCTGAAAAAATACTTAAATGGAGTTCCAGCATTTCATACGATCAAGAATGGAAGAGATTTAAGTCTTTTATGAGATAGCTTACTCTTTACACAGGATATAATTTGAAGGTACTACGAGTATTAAAAAAAGAAAAAGGAATCTGGCATAGTGCTGCAACAGAACTCAAAAAATAGGGCCCTCCCTGGTGGAGCAGGGGGTTAAAGCACAGCACTGAGAAGCTAAAGCCACTTGAGCATGAGTTCGATCCCCGCCTGCCCCAGAGGTGAGCCACATGGCGCAGCAGACCTCTCCTGACCCACCTGCTGCTCCCCTCAGCAGTGCACTTTGTAGATCTGCCTGTTCTGCTCCCCACTCTGTCTCTGGTGAAGCCTCTCACCTTCCGCATCTCTGGCCTATACCCCAGTTCTGTATGCACAAGTAAATAAACCTTAAAAAAAAAAAAGTGAAAGCAGGGTAGACTTTACTAAGGAAACACTTTCAAAACAAGTTTGTATCAAAGTTAATGTTAGACCGCAATGAGACTGCTCTACCTGCTTAAGCGGGACATTCACTGGCTTTTAAAAAGTTTGCTACCTTCAACTTTTGGTGATCAGTTGATGTGAGAATACCACATATGGGTAAACCAGCAGAAGTGCTCTCTATTTTTAAAAATTTTCTATCAGAATTATTAAAGAGAAAAATGTATCATATGTAGGCGACGTAATCTGACAACTAACATATAATATTTTATTGCTTGAACTTAACAACTTACCTAAGCAGTAGGTATTCCATTACTGCTTTATAGAAGGTGTCAGATTAGCCCCAGAGGTTTTTAATAAATGAAAGGATACTACTAATAAAACACAAATTACTTTCTCTGCTTCATTCAGAATTTACTAGTATATAATTACATATCCCTAGAGGATAGCTATAAAACAGACTCAATTTTACAATGATACTACTTACTTTTTAATATTTGTATCAACTTTTTGGCCAACAAGGAAATATATCAGGAAGAAGATAATTTACACAGGTCTAAATTAAAAAGTATGCAAAAATGTAAGATTAACAGAAATAACAGGATACTTTCATTATCCAATAAAATTACTAATTTGTAACAAACTCTTACTATAATGTAAATGTTAATAAAATATGCAACAGTGAAATCTCAATACCCAGTGAAATACTATTCTAAAAACTATGGTAAGAGTTTTTGGAATTCACAAATAGTAATATCAGTTTCTTAATATTAAAATGTAATATCAAGGATATAAAGACTCTTGGCAATTCTAAATACTTTTTACTAAATATTTAATATTAAACACAATATTTAAATCTTTTCTAGCAATTATTTTATAGTGATTTTTAGGAGTTTATGTTAAACTTCCTATCGCTATGACATAAAATAGCGATAGGAATGGATAAAGTGGATAAAATATTCCTAGTAAGAACCATTTAAACAGGAGCAATGGTTACCTCTTGAAATATACCTGAAAACATGAAAAAGTTCAGTTTTTAATAAGCGGTCCTCCAACTTACATCATTTATCAAACATCAGTTGCTGACATAGAAAGTTTAAAAGTCCTATCAATACCAGAACCAACATACAATTCAGCAATTTTTGCTTGTCTATTTTTGTCAATAATATAAAACACAGAACATGACAGTTTCACATATCTCATTATTCAGTAACTATATGTGAACAATTACATCACATTTTTAAAAGGAATATAGTTTTAAATTACATTCTTCTTAATCTGGCAACTAACATTCATATACATTTTTCCCTTTTCATGCTAACTTGGCAAAAATAAATAATTGAAAACTTATTTCAAGAAAGGAATGGTTATTCACAGTTAAGTCACTTTTTTATTACACTTAGGTGTGAGAACTCAAACATTACATCTGCATTTAGTTATTGCACTTAAAAATGAATTTTTTCACTTAAAATCACTTCAAACTACAATTAAAAAATCAACTTTTACCTCACACAATGAATACAGTTATTCTAGGCTCAGTCTTGCCCATGAGAAAGTGAAGACATGCCAGTCTCCAAGTAAAGACTTTTCAGTCTCAAAGATCACTAGCCAAATACAATTTACTCAATATTTCCTACACAGAATTTGATGTCATTCTCAACTCCTTCTGAGGCTTTCACTAGTCAGTAAAGAATTTCTCTGACTCAAAAGCACCAGAGATTTTCAAATTATGGTATTGAAATATTCATATGTAGTTGGTTCTAGAAATTCATTTTAATAATATATTCATAATCAGTTTAATATTATTTTAGAGAAATGATGGCCTAGAATAAAATAGCAAGATGGTGGCTTTTAAACAGCACAAATAATTAAAAACTTATTTCAATATTTAAAATGTAGAGAATTAATACTGAAGTGTTTATTTGCAACTGAAAAATAATTTCAATTCCTAAAAGGATTTCCTGTACTTACCCTGAAGTACCTGGATGAGTCGAGGTTGCAATGCTGAGGTGATCACACTCTCCGGCAGCTCCCTCAGGAACAGCTTTAACAGACTGGCCGCTGAGCTGACATCACCATCTTTCCCCAGCTCCACAGGAGCTCCACTCTCGAATTTCAACCGAAGTTGCTCCACCACCTTCACGTTGCCATTCACCCTAAAAAGGCCTTCATGAGTGAGTCCTAGAACACCAGAGTAGAGATAAGGAAGGGTGGCTCCCAAACAGATGCAAGCTCTACCAAACTTGTTCTAATATGAGAACAACAAAATCAATAAATAGCAATATAGGATTTTCTCAATATAATAATTATCAAATTGGAAAAAGTTTATTTTTATAAAAATGTTTTCTGGCCCTCCCTGGTGGCGCAGCAGGTTAAAGCACAGCACTGAGAATCTAATTTCGCTTCTGCATGAGTTCGATTCCCGCCTGCCCTGGAGGTGACCACAAGGTGCGGCAGACCTCTCCTGGCCCGCCCGCTGCTCCCCTCAGCAGTGTACTTCGTTGATCTGCCTGTTCTGTTCCCCACTCTGTCTCTGGTGAAGCCTCTCACCACCCCTGAGCCTCTGGCCTGTACCCCAGTTTTGTATACACAAATAAATAAATCTTTAAAAAAAAATGTTTTCTTAGAATAATAATTCTTCATATATACTGCATATTAACTAGAAAGATCACATACAATCGTTATTAAACCCCCATAAGATTAGGATATATAAACAATAAACATATCCTACTTTACAAAAAAATTCTATTTATACACCACACGGCACATTCACAGAAGTTTCCCCTAGCCTTCCACAGCAGTTCAGCATTTTAAGAACTGTTTTTAAAAATAACATGAATATAATAAATTTCTGAAATACATATGATGTACTTCACAATAATTTAATTAAGAAGCAAGCAGTATTTCTTTAGTAATCATTGAACTCATAGTTGAAGATTATGAGAATATATAGGGGTAGAAGAGCAGATCCCACCTTCTGTCACTTGGTGAAAGACATCAGTTTTGGCCATGTCAGAAGAGAGGGCTTCATGGACCTACCTTCAGTTCTTCTGCAAAATCTTTAGTAAAGGCAACATGGAAGGACCGGGGTTGGTGTACTCTGACACTAATCTCTTTTAAGGTTCAGGGCTCCTTTATTTGGATTATTCGCTCCCCTGCTGTTCCTAATTCTGTATTCTTAATTTCATATTCTTTTTTCTTAAAGGCCTCAAAAGCTTTAAACATCACAGCCCACATGACCTAGATCTACCTACCCTGATCTAGATCTACCTACCCCTGACGTGAATGGAGAAGCAGAGACAGGACAGCATAAAGGAAGGAAGGTAGATAAAAATGTGAAATATTTAAGTCCTAGGGCAATGGGATGACAAAATGGAAGAAATGGGATAGGGCTGTGAATGTCAAATTAAAGAGTGAAGACTTTATCATTAAGACATTAAGTGGGAGGAAAGGTACAATGCAATCAAGGCTTAATGGGGATACAGCTACAATGCAATCAAGGCTTAATGGGGATACAGCTAGTTAAGAGTCAGAAGATAGAACAGGCAGAGAGCTTATTACACCCCACTGTAATGCACTATCATAGAGGTTATGTAGGAAAGAAAGAAATGAAGAGAGAGAATAAACATAATCTGGTTACTTAGTGAAAAGGGAAATAAAAAAGAAGAAAGGTTGAAAGTCAACTTTAAAAACTAAGAGTCAGATAAAAGTACTGCAGAAGATAAAGTGAAGTCAGAGTGGAGGGAAGTTAGTTTAGGATAGCAAATGGCTTCCAGCTTAGTTGCTGTTTCATAAAGACTCTACAAATCAAAAGTCAGGCATGGAGGGATACTGAACGTATAAGAAAATCTTTCTAAGAAAGAGAAGCCTAAGAACGCAACTCACCACTCTTCTTTTGAGGGCCTAATGGTGAGTTTAGCAATAAAGCAAGCATTGAAGCCTAATAGAATTTTTTAGATTGGAGGTGTTTGTTTATATTTGCACTTGACTCTTTTTTGTCCTTACAAGTATTCTTTCTTAAGAAAAAGAAGGAAATCTTCTCTTTATTTTTAAAATTCAGCTTTATTGAGGTATGAGAAGCTAATTTCATTTTACTTTGTAGTTTGATATTTTATGAGTCCTTTATTTAAATAAAATGTAAGTAATAAATTTCAAACACTACCATTATCTTCATAGATAATGTAGTCTGACGAGAAGTTTATATCTTTCACTTATACATACTATTTGGTTGTGGAAGAATGTCACCAAAAGTTGGGATGAACATTAGTCCCGATTTTACCAACAATTATCTGTGAAAATAGGAATATTAAAAAGATTCAACAGCCCACACGGCCAGGGTACCATCTAATGAGAGGAGAGATACCAGTGAGTAGGTGTGTCAGGCAGCTTCTCCAACAGCCCAAAGGTTTCCATCTTGTGGTAACCACATCTGTGCATAATCCCACACTGAGTTTGGGCAGGACCTAGTGGCTACCTTCTAAGCAAGAGCATATAGTAAAATGCTGAGATTAAATTATAAAAGACTGATACCCATCTTACTGTGTCCCCTCACCTCCTCCCCCTGTTCTTTGCTTGCTCATGCTGAAAAATTTACTGCTTTTTTTCTCCTTTTTTTTCTTTTTGCTTCTTTGTGGAGTGGTTCATGTAGCAAGGAACAAAAATGCAATTTCTGGTCATAGATGGAGAGTAACTGAGACCCTCAAGTCAGTAGAGTGCAGGGAACAGGGTCTTGCCAACAAGCTCAGGCATTAAGTAAGCTCAGACATGACCCCTGCCCAGTCACATCCTGATATGACTGGAGTCTAAGACGACACCCCAACAGCAGCCTTTTAAAAGACCCTGAGGCAGAAGACACAATTATGTTATGTCCACTGATTATAAATATTGTTGCTTTAATATACTGTGTTTTAGGGCAATTTGTTATGCAACAACAGATAAATAATATGATATACCAAATCCCTAATAATGCAGAATACCAGCCTACCCTGACCAGCAGCAGCTTAGTCATTGCTAAAGCTTCCCAAGTCTATTTCCTCTGCTTTACAAAGCTTTAAGTGAGTTTCAGAAATGTAGAATGACATCAAGCACATAGCAGCCAATAAAAGAATCCTATCCCTGAACAAGGCCCAAGTCCTGAAAATTTAGAATTTTGTATACTATTCTCATATCAACCCAGGCCTTGAGCCCATTTTTGGGTCAACAAATGCTCCTAGCTATGAGTCCACAGTGTTTTTTTCTGATTTTGTTCTTAAGTTTTCTTCTCTTCAAGGTTTTATGAATCTTCCTTAAAATAAATATACTTCCAGTTATTCCAAAATAATCACCCAGTTCTAAGAACTGGATTTGGTCTTCAAGGTGCTGAAGCCTCATTAGTGGTGAGATAATATACGCAATAGAAAGTGATATTAATGCTTCTCAACCATATTTTTCTGCTCCCACTACACTTAACAGAACAACCCTTTTCCCTCAACTCTCTTCTCTTATGCAAACTAGTCTTAAGGTTTTCAAGGAGAGGACAGTTTACCCTGGATGTGAAAGTACTACATTCTGGTGAAAAGAATCCATGCAGATTTTTTTTTCTTAAAGATTTATTCATTTATGAATACAGAGCCGGGGTTCAGGCCAGAGGTGCAGAGGTGAAGATTCACCAGAGACAGAGCGGGAGCAGAATAGGCAGACTGAGACGTACATTGCTCAAAGGAGAGTGGGCGAGACAGGAGAGGTCTGCAGCGTCACCTGGGTCACCTCTTGCGCCAGGGATAGAACTGGCATTGAAGGTGCTGAGGCTAGCTTGTAGTGATGCACCTTAACCCATTGTGCTTCCAGGGAGGGCCCCATGCAGCTTTTAAAAGTTCCAAAAACTTATGGCTGATACCCATGAGCCTTACCAGACTGTGCCATCAATTTTCCTTCTCTAATACTTTAAGCAATTATGATTATTACATAAACTTTCAGATGGAGGGATTTAGAAAGCTTCCTGAAGCTAGAATATATCTATACTAACAGATTCTTGAGATTCAAGAAATAAAGGTTTAATTATCAGGAAATAGTAATTTTAACAGTGGTTGATAAATATATATATATATATATATATATATATGCATATATATACACACACACACATACTAAGTAACATATATACCACTGACATAATTTTGTAGAGTTAAAATATTTATTTAAAAATGCTATGGATATATCATTTGAAAACAAATGTGCCAGAAGTCAGAATTAGCGTACCTGGCAGTTTGGGCCAGAACAGTAACATAAGTGTGTGCTGACATCTGGTGGTGATTCAAAGATCCTACACTATTTAAACAGCATTACTAACATAAGAGAAGGAATCCAGTAAGGTGGTCAGCATATTATTTATTTAACAAAATTTACTATTATTTTCATGAACAGTAGTTGAACTTGAATTTTTCATATCATGCTATTGTCTCATCAATGAATAATCTAAAAAATATTCTATTTATTAACATTGTGAGAAAACTATACATAATATTGCTTTTGTTTGTTTAAGATGTAAATCTTAATCTTACTCATGCATACAGAACTGGGGTAGAGGTCAAGGTGCCGGGGCGGTGTGAGGATTCACCAGAGGCAGAGTAGGGAGCAGAACAGACAGACCAACGAAGTACACTGCTGAGGGGAGCAGTGGGCGGGTCAGGAGAGGTCTGCCCCGCCATGTGGATCACCTCGGGGCTGGGAATTGGACTCATGCTTAAGTGGCTTTAGCTTCTTAGTGCTGTGTTTTAACCCCCAGTGCCACCAGGGAGAGCCCAAATATTGGGTTTTTATGACTGGTTTGTACTTTTTCATAGGAATGCTTTGACATACTACTAGTTTGGGGATTTTGAGTAACAAAATTGAAAAAAGGAAAAAAAAAAGCATAATAATATGCCCTATAACTTATATTTTTCTTTGAGGAGAAAAACGTATCTTACTTTTTTTAAAATTTTTTTTTAAAGATTTATTTGTGTATACAGGCCAGAGGTGCAGGGCCTGGGAGAGGATTCACCAGAGACAGAGTGGGGAGCAGAACAGGCCAACTGACAAAGTACACTGCTGCGGGGAGCAGCGGGTAGGCCAGGAGAGGTCCAGGCCAAGAGAGGTCCGCCACACCATGTGGATCACCTCCAGGGCGGGTATCAAACTCATACTGAAGTGGCTTTAGCTTTTTAGTGCAATGTTTTAAACTGCTGCACCACGAGGGAGGGCCCTTACTTTTTTTTTTTTTTTTTTAAGAAAAAAGTTCAGTTTAAGTTCATTACTGAGGACCCACAGCCACAATCCAATTCATTTTGGGGTTGCCAAAACTACAAAATAATGAAATAAAAATAACTGCGGTAGCTTCAAACTTCCTACCACCCTTCAAAGTTACATACGCTCTTTGGCTTACTAACATAACATAATTTAGGTTTAGGCTGGGGTAAGGCTGGGATAGGAAAGAGGAACTTAAAACTGCTACCACTTGTATTCCGGGAACCAATTCTGCCTCCTTTACAAAACAGTCTAAAAATAGCAACTTCAATACCCTATAAAAGCTCACCTGTGCCCCCCCACCCCAATGAGAGCAACTTCTTTGACTTCCACTCTAGGGGGTCAGGAAACCTGGCCCAGGAACACAATAAAGTTCTTGCTTGTCAGAAACTTTGCTGGATCTCTCCATCCTTTTACTGTGCTGAAATCTTTCAATAATCTTTTCAAATACAGTAAGAGACTAATTGTTGACATGCTAATTAACATTGCAGCCTTTCAAAAGTAATGTAAGTGCCCTAGTCTCACTTGTCAAGATTCTGATTCAGTGGCTCTGGGTTATCACCAATGCATATGTGTCTGAGAAAATTCCACTAGTGATTCTATTACATCCCCAGTTAAAGATTAATGAAATTAAAAATGTAAAATGATTTTACATAGAGAATAAACTCAAGAGGTTATTATTCCATCATTACTGGGGAAAAGCTGAAATTGTTGCTTTAGATAGTTATACCTTGTATACTCCAAGTATATAATGCCAAACAAGTCTATTTAACATGTTAAATGAATTACCTAGAGAACCATTTGTATCTCAATCAGTAAGACACAGTTTTATTTAATACCAACTGTGTAAATGAGTCCTGTGAAAGTTCTAATTACCTGTAGATCAAGATTCAATATTTCTTCCATATCATACTGTGTATTATCATTTTTTGTGTCTATATAACATATCTGAAAAGACATATTTTCCAAGAATCTCATCCTTCTAAAGGTCATTTCCTTCAATAAATAAATAAATAAATAGTAACTCCTAGGAGATGAGGATACAAGGCTGGTTTTCAATTTTTCAGAACAAAATGCCAGTTTATCATCTACACATCTAGGAACCAGAACAAATAGCTATTTTTTTTTTCTCACTTAACACAAGATACCTGACCTTCTGACATACTTCCCATAGAGGAACAGATACACTGTGCCTCTTACTATTTCCAATGGAGGTTTCTTCTAGCAGTGGCAATGGACTTGTTGGGGAGAAAAGGGGCTAAAACAAAATGCAAAAAGTACAGAATTTTTGAAGCATCAAGATTTTTATTTTATTTTGTTGTATTTTATTCTGCAATGAGTTTTGCAGTCTTGCATTAGTATACAGATGCTATTTCTATATAGGAAATGGTGACCATTCTAAGATTTTCTCTCAGAAGATTTCTCTCCCAAATCTTTAAAAGTTTGTTGCTACGATAGAAAAAGGCACAAAATGATGTAAAAATAAACTATTATATTATTAAAAATAAAAAGTTTGTTGATGCTTATTATAATAGCTTAGAGCGCTCCCACCATACTGCTGAATCTGAAAAGGATAAGTGTTGGGCACATGGAAGCACTGTCTCAAATAACCTAGGCTTCAAGGTACTATTTTAAATAAAGTCATGAAAAGTTATGAAGAACACAGCTCTCAATAATGAAGGGTAAACTTTATCTTTTTATCATGCAGTTTACTGTAAGTCTATAGTTTACTTTATATGCTTAATTTTATGACTCCAAAAGGAATGAGACCCCAATCAAGGAGGTTATCTATCAGATTTGGGGGGTATTTGCTACTGTACTTAAAGGAAATCAAGATATTCAATAAGTTCATGATTGGTCTCAGCTGAAAGAGCTATCTGAAAAATCTTTTAGGACATTCAGTATTGTGAACCACCAATAAGAATTTAATGATTCAAGAGAACACACTATTAATATTAGAACAGTATATTTTAGCACTTAAAACTAGGAAGCATTTCAAACCAGAACACCTCACTAATGAAAAGTGATTGATCTGCTCCCAGTAAACTGAAAGGTATGTTCTCAATGTCCTGTGCACATTACACAAATTCTAATAACATATCATGAAAGAATCCACACAAAATTCTTCTTGTATGAAGAACTGTTAAGAACATCAGAATTAAAAGATGCCTTGTCTTACCATGCCTTGTCAAGTACTCCACTATGGTCCCCACTACAGCTGGAATGCCATTCTCAGTGAGTCCCTGCTGGTGCAGATCTTGCAGACTGACTCCAAATAGCTTCTTACAGGTAAGTCTCCTCTGCTCATCTAGGGGCACTGCCACTATCTTTTTCATGTCTTCTTTCAGCCGAACTGCTGCTTTACTTTGCTTAAAAGAGTTAAAGAAAAAAGAGCAGTCAGTCATATTTACCACAGGAGGTTGCATGGTGACAGCAGAAAACACCTGAATAAAAATGCAAACGTTTTAAGATATACAGTGGGCTACACTTATTTTTCCTTCAGTTCAAATCACAATCTCTTCTCTCAGTTGTTGTTAAATATCATGAATGATGCACACTGGGAATGGTTAAAAGGAGTGAAAAAATACAGAGAAACCTGAAACCAGAACTTAACTGTAGCTAAGAGAGGGAGCAATACAGTGCGGTTTCTAAGATATATTGCTACAGCAACCAAGGTGTGACTCGGAAGTACCTGGTTATTAACAGGAAAACAAAACATTCCTAAGAACATTGAGACCCCATGATCATCAGAAACAATAAGATGTTTTCAAAGATGAAGCTTAATCTGGATGTCATTTTAAGATAGCTTTCACTGAAATGTTAGGGAAAAAATATATAAATGCCAAGTTGGACACTTAGTTCTATGACTTGACTATATTTGTGAGTATCTCAGTAATACTGTGGCACATAACTTAAGTCAATTCTCACTGAGGTTCAAAATGCTCTCTCCAAAACAGCAAAACGTTAGGTAGTCTTGATTTAAACATTTTCAACAAAACTGTATATAATAGAAGCTTAACATACAACTTATATTCAAGTAACTCAAATTATTATGACATAAAACTTATATGAATTTATTTTCTTTTAACAGAAATGTATACCTCAAGGAAGTTTATAAATTTTAATATGGTCTAACTCAACAATTTTCTTTTTAAAGCATGTATCCAACATAAACGCTATATAACTGTAAGTCTAAACAAGGAAAAGATTGCAAAATTTAGGAAATAGAGGTGGTGGATTGCAGAAATTTTTCATATTTTGAGAATGAACGTTAGCAACTAGCATCTAACCTAAGTGCAAGCTAATAGAGCTTTGTATTTGTATGTTAAGTACAACTTCATGTAGTGTGACAATCTGAAAGTATTAGATTTCTCTGGTTTAGAGTTAAGGAAACAAAGACAAGATTTTAAGTAATTTGGCAAAAGTCACAGAAGTGGTAAGACAAGATTTCATTCTACTCTAAGCCAATTAATTCTCCCCTTAATTTACAGTTATATATAGTGTATAGTATGGAAAAATTACAGTAACAAAACATGGAAAATGTTATATGTGACCCAAAACAATTAAACAAACTTAACTCTACATTCTTGATTTTGATTAGGGAGTCTGTAATTGCAACTAGATTTTAAATCTAAGAGTGTATACAACCAGATGAACTTTCATTGAAATATTTGCATTTTTAATGCATCGTAATACCAGTAGGTGTATAATAAATCAATATAGATTTATTATCTATTAGTATTCTAGTATAAGGCATAGTGTCAGTTACCTTAGGGCAGTATTTATGATCTCTGTTAACAATGAAATTACTAAGTCAAATTTGGAACAGCTAAAAGTTTTGTCTTCCCAGTATAAAAACATCAATTTACTTGACTGAAATTTTTAATCAACCAGTTAGCACCTATATAACCAATGAGACTTGAAATGTCTGAAGTGTAACATTAAAGCCAGCTAACAATATGCTATTAAATTACACAAGTTTAATCTTACTTCTTTATTATTTTCTTAAAGTTTAGAAGTATATGGAACTAGACCTTGTTTTAAATCCCATTCTAATCAAAATAGCTATGGACCTTGGACAACTCATTTAACCTCCCTATTTCTCAGTTTCTCCATATACAAAATGGGGATATTATGAGTTTCTAAAATTTGTTTAAATTAATGACATACCTTTATGTCCTTTTCTTTTTCACAATACAGGATTTCTCCCCTCAGGTGTGGTCACCAGTTTCTCACCACTAGATTCCCCACAATCCTCTACCATGGCCCACTGTGCTCTCCTCCCACCCTTGGGTCTTTCCCTCCCTTTCTACTTTTCTCTCTCCTTCCCCTCCTGGATATATCCATCTATGGTCAGCCATCAAGTGTTGGCTTAAAGCCTGAGATTTTTATCTTATAGAAACATGAAGTTGAAATGAGTTCCTACACACAGGAATAAGAACAGCCCCTATCCTCATCACCAACTTTTTTCTAGGAAATTATTCTAATTTCTCAAAAAAAAAGGATATTTAACCATTTCTGTACTCAAGTTATGTGTAGGAAAAAAGCTGCTATTGAAACAGATAACATGGTTAAGGCATGTTTGTTTGGTTGGTAGTTTGTAGTCTAATAATCCATTTATCTTTTACTTAATAAAATATATGTGTGACTTTTAAATGACTAAAGATAATTTTTGTTTAAGGTGGGTAAAGAGGATTAAAAGTATGAGTTTGATTAAATGTTATGCATATGTAAGTTTAAATACTGAAAAAGGGGAGCAAGTGGGAGAAGGAGTTCAAAATGTATTAACTTTTATCTATAAATTAAATAATAAAAAATAAAATAGTATGTTTATAAGAATTCCTCGTTTTCTTAGAATTTCCCATTCTTTCCATTTGTGAGTTAAAAACCTTGAATTTACTTCTCTCTACTAAGCACCCTTCTCATTATTAGAACACAAATAGTGTGTTGTAAATCCTTTTAATATGCAATGTAAACAAGCAGTCGTGACATTATAGCTCAAAAAGTTGATAAGTAAGAGATGCTTAATTAATCTCAGATTTTGAAGTGATTACAAATCAGATTTTGAAGTGATTATGTTTACCTCATATAGACCTTCGATACGTAGCGAATTTATATGTAATTATAGTGATAAATAAACATCTGAATATTATTTTTAATTTGTAATCTAATTCAAGTTAATCCTCACTTAAAAGTAAATATTGGCCCTCCCTGGTGGCACAGCGGGTTAAAGCACAGCACTAAGAAGTTAAAACCACTTCACCATGAGTTCCAACCCCGCCCTCCTGGAGATGGTGATCCACACGGCGAGGCAGACCTCTCCTGACCCACCCGCTGCTCCCCTCAGCAGTGTACTTCGTCGATTTGCCTGTTCTGCTCCCCACTCTGTCTCTGGTGAATCCTCTCACCGCCCCTGCACCTCTGGCCTGTACCCAGTTCTGTATGAATAAATAAATAAATCTTAAAAAAAAAAAAAAGAAAGGAAATATTGCTTAAATTCAACCACAATGAAACAAAAGCTAAATTTTCAGAGCTATCTGAAATTCTTCTGTGACCAAAAAATATGTATTATAAAATTTTGCTTATCTGGCATATTTGGTAAAGGAGTCAGCTGACAGGAAGTGATAGATGGTATTAGGAGTTTATATCTGAACTACTAACTTAATATCTAAGGTATTAAAAATATAGCAATTTAGAACTACAGAACTTCAGTTATGGGAAAATAATGGTGGGGAAGATTATTCAAGATGACATTAGTGGAGAAAGTCTCCTTGCTTCCTTGATTATTTCCAGAAGAGGGAGAATGATGTAACAGAGAATGTTACAAATAAATACTAGAGGAAAACTTCCCAAATTTGGGAAGTAAAAAAAATGTACATATCCATGAAGCTCAAAGGACAATTGGTTATGTAAATGTAATGAGACCTACACTAATACATAATTATGAACAATTCAAGACAAAGAAAAAATAGTGAAGGTAGTTAAAAGAAAAAAAGTAAGCAATCATTAATTCTCTTACCATGCTTACTTCAGATTTCTCTGATAAAAAACAGTCAAGCAAGGAGAGAATGCAGTGATATATGCAAAATATATAAAGATTAAAAACTGCCAGCCAGGACCTCCTTGTAGCACAAGGAGTTAAAACATGGCACTGTGAAGCTATCCAGCACAACAGCATGAGTTGGATCCTACAGAGTGTAGCAGATCTCTCCTGTCTTGTCTGCTGCTCCCCTCAGCAATGTATATCAGTAGATCCATCTGTTTCTCCCCCCACACTGTGTCTGGTAAATATTCTTACCCCTCACACCAGTTCTTGTAAGCATAAATAAATAAATCTTCTAAAAAACCCTGCCAACCAAGAATACTATATTCTGGAATAACCATCAGACATGACTATGAAATAAAGGCCTTCTGAGACAAACAGAAAATGAAGGAGTCTGCAAACACTTAAGACATCCCTATAAGAATATTGATGTTTTCCTATCTAAATCAAATAAAAAACAATCTACAAAGAAATGAACAAGTAAACTGATAGAACTAGAAACCTAAAAATACAATGGCACAGCAAACTCTATAATGTAATTATAAATGGACTAAATGGACTGAACTCACCAATTAAAAGGCTCATGTGGGTAATTAGATCAGAAAACAAACCCCAACTATTTTCTATCTTCAGAGGGCACATCTCTGAGCTCAAAATAAACAGATATGCAAAGTAAATGACTAGAAAACAATCCTACAAGCAAATGGAACCCCCCCCCAAAAAAAAAACAGAGCCAGATATACTTATACTAAACCCAGATGGCTTTTTTACCTGGAAATGTAGTCTAATAAGAGACAGATGTACATTATAATGATAAAGAGAACAATATATCAGGAAAACAACATTTATCAACCTATATAAACCAAACATAAGAACATCAAAACACACAAGTCAACTATTAGCAAATCTGAAAATAGACACTAGCAGTAACACAAAAGAGGTAGAGTTTTGACAACACACTTTCATGAATGGACAGAGCAAGCTGACAGAAAATCAACAAGGGAAAAAATAAGCCTTAAACTAAGAATTAGGCAACACGGATCCCATTAGCCTTAAAAACAAAATTAGAGCCACACTGTATACCCCAAAAGTTGAGCACACACTCTTCTTGAGTTCACATGAGGCATGCTCTAGGACAGATCACATGTTGAATCATTAATTCATGAAGATGTAATGATATCAAGTATCTTCTCTGATCATGATGGTATCCCACTAAAGACAACCACAAAGAGAAGAAGAAAATCTCACATATGTGGAGACAGAGCAACACAATACTGATTGTTGGGTTAATGAGGAAATCAATGAAAAGATTAAAAAATACCTAAA